GCTGAAAGGGAGTTTCCACCCGTACGAGACGGATCAATTGATTGTCATCTTGAGAGATCTACTCGCCAAGCATCTTTCCTCGACACCTGCAGCAGGCGAAGTGATTAGACTATTGGAAACTATCACCGAACACTTAGGTGAGCCATCGATTGTCAACGCGGCTGAACCCAAGGCACCTCACGGAAACACCCTGAGGAGCCTCAGATGCCCGAATACCCAACCGAATGGTGGAACCTGGACTTAGGGGCAGGCTTGTTTGGTTGAAGGAGGGCTGCGAGGTCTAGCGAGGGAAGCAATGACAAACTCACATTTTACGTGGGTTTGGCTTACTGTACCAGACACGGCGCAGTGTCCTCTGTCGAACTCCGTGTCTGACTCAGGGTCCCGTGTTCGAAGACAAATAACAGAACCCTATGTATGTTTTCACGATCTTCTCCTCGGTCACGACGGCTTCTCTTCCCCTCTCCACTGTCAATACCCGCAAGTGAGCCTATCATGATCCGGCGGAAAAGTGAAAAGGCACATGGCTCTACCATGACTACACTACCCACCCATCGCTGGGTTTCGCACGTGTGGGTCACCCTTACCCACCTCTCAGTGCTCTGAAGGCCGATCGATCGCATCTTGAGTGATTCACTATGATCCTTTCGACTACCTCTGATGGCGGGTGATGACTTGCCAATGATGTCTGATGATAATTGAGTGACGTCAAGAGTGCGAACAACGTTATTGCGGTTTTATCGTATAGTCGGTTAGTACATCGGATTCTGATGCTATGTCAAATTCCGGTAACCTGAGTTCGAGTCTCAGTAAAACCTTCTTTTTCACCGGTCAAAGCCCCTGGCTAACCCTAGCCCCTGGCCCTATGTAACCTTTTTATGACCTTTGTTTCTACGGCTGAACGTCTCCCTTACATGGCTCTCGACACTGCTTGTGCGGCAGTGACCTCCCGTCACAGGGGTTTCAATGGGTCTCATATGTAGCCTCATGCGTGCACCAGGACATGTGGATACTTCTCGAGATGAGCCTCCGCGCCTGATCCTGTTGCAGTCTTTGGGACACATGAGACGCAGCCATGTGTCGAAATACGGGCAAGGTCATGTATGACAAGGCCCCCGAAGATATCTACGACGGCTGCTGGCCGGTGCAAGGCCGACGCCTGGCGACGAGAGGTGTTCCAGCTGGCGGATTCGTGTGTCGCCGACCGAAAGGTGGGGGACAACCGCGTACATACGATACATGAACGATGTATAACGTCGTGGCAGCCACTGCCTGACCATGCACTGTCGACCTGCCCCATCTCTACTGTGCTCGCTTCCGAACTTCCCCCTCGATCTCCTCGGCTGTGCGGAACCTGATAATCTTCTCGGGCTCTACGATATTGTGTTGCTGGCCGAGGTAGAAGTTTACGGTAAACGCTCCCGCAATGATCGACCCGAAGGACACGACTAGCCCGGCGAGAAACAACCCCCTCATCGATTCCAGGTACGCTGCGGTCAGTCCACCATGGACGGGGTTCCGACTCACCCTGCTTGATCAAGTCGCGGGGCTCGGCGAGACGGGCAACGGTAATGTCGCCAAAGATGCCCATGATCTCGGTCGCGCTGTAGACGTCGCCGACGTATTGCATGAGCTTTGCCGGGACTTGTCGGTTCCAGACCGCGGCCGAGATGGCGACAGTGATGGAGGACCCGATGCTCGACCAGAGATTCAGAACCGCGGTGGCTATCGCCATGTCTTGATGAGCGACGGATCCTTGGACGCCAATGTACGACGCAATGACGGACGCGGCGCCGCCCAGACCGTACAAGATTTGCGAAGCGACGAGCGTCCCGGTCGAGGGGGAAAAGGTGGACCTGTAGACGAGACCGAAGCCACTGGGAGGTGAGCAGGGGGTGTTGATTGACCACTTACATCGACTTGAGAGCGAGGCCGAATAGTTGGACGTATTTGTAGCCGTGTACGTAGCGAATGGCGAGCCCGAAGAAGATGGCAAAGAAGCACATGGTTGCGGACATGGACGAGGCGAAAAAGGTGTAGTCCCGGTACTGCGGTCAGAAGGATCGTCTCGAGGCGCTCACGTTCCAGTCGACGACGACGTAGACCCAGGAGGAAAAGTACGTGTCGACGAGGTAGGACGAGGAGTAGTAGAAGACGTCGACCATGACGCACGCGCACTGTCGTTAGCGATCGCTGGTGGGTAGGAGGTGGGGGATCGGGTCGATGGGAAACCCACAAAGGACCGGTTGAAGACGCGTTTGGGCATAAAGGGGTAGTCGGCGAAGAAGCCATCCCAGACTGCCCAGGCGATAAACAGGACCCCGCCGATCGTCTCCATCGCGATGAGAGATGCTGCGGTGAGTAGCCACACGCAAGGGTGAAGCAGCGACGGACGATTCTTCCACCCGTTCTTCGCCGTGGACGACAGTGTGACCGGGGCGAGCAGCAGGCCAAAGGCAAAGCCCATGAGGAGGAGTCCCAGCACGTTGAGCCGCGTCCAGTAGTAACGGATAGTCTCCCAGCGCGTCCTCGTCGGTCCAACTGCTTCCTCGCCTAGCACCTGCCTCTGCCGCAGGCTTGATGTCGCGAGGGAGACGACGCCGAGTTTTTGAGCTCGACGATCGCCGATGAGGAGGACGATGACGGCGGGGGAGATGCAGACTGGGACTAGGATGCAGAACATCCCGTACTGCGGTCAGCTCCTGTCGGGTCGATCCGATGCGACACTCACACCCCATCGCCAGCCGTTCTGTGTGTTTGCCGAAATGCCGGCGGAGATGTACCCGGCGACAAACGTGTTCAAGACGTACGGCAGGTTGAACGCCCCGTTGATGGTCGCGCGCCATTGCAGACTGGTAATGTCCGCGATGAGGAGCGAGTTCACTGCGATGAGCGTCGGGGCAGGACCGCATCGAGACGTACTAAACGTGATACCCGTGTTGCCAAGCGTCGATATGAACATCCCCCCGACGGCTGTGCTGACATTGTTGCAGCCGGCAACCATGGCGAAGCCGACGGCGTAGAGCAGAACGGACAGGGCGAGCGTGTGCGGCCGAGACCAGATGTCGGCCAGCTGCTGTCAGTTTTTCACATTACGCACAAGTATCCAGCAGGGGCGAGTCGCACACCTTGGCGACGAAAGGAGGGAGGACTCCCCCGACGATACCGTTGATCACACCGATGGTCCCGATCACCGTGTGTTCCTTGTACGCCGAGGTGACAAACTGCGCGTCTGCCATGAGCTGTGCGCGCGAGGGGGCGTGGGGTCCGACTCACACGTTCCCGTGGTGCTTCGGCTGAGTGAGTAGACATAGGCGATCAGAGCGATGGATACCCATAACGCGTATAGACCTCCTCCCCGCCCAAAGACCAGATCTAGAGATCAGCTCGGCCTCGTGATAGGTCCCATCGACACGCACACAACGCTCCAATCCGGGCGACGCCCCCGTCGGTGGTCAAGTCGGTCTCTTGCTTCTCATCCTTCCCGTCCGATTCATCTTGCAGCTGCAGGCTCTTCGACTCGACGTCTCCATCTTTCGCGCCAGACTCGGGTGCGTCGCACTGGGCTATAATGTTCAACGCTGGGTCGGCGGGCGAGGGTCGCGACATGGTGTCGGTTTTTCGAATCGAGGGGAGCAAAGGTGGTCATGATTATATCCCTTGGCTGGGAGCTTCGCAACAAGATTTTAGCTGTTCCGGGTCGGCCGATTTCCATATGGCGCAAGGTCAAGCGTATCAGATAAGCCTACGCGTGCTGGGCGGTGCCCTGACATGGTGGTAGCCGGACGCCATGGGACGCTGAAAAGATGATGACGGGCGAGAAGAGACAGGTTCCAGTTGCACCCGCGCGGCTAGACGTCCGTCTGCCGGCAGGTGCCAAGTGTCCGCATCTCGGAGATAGACTTAACCTCTTGGGTATGCATGCACTACCGACCCGGCCGAACAGCGCCAAGGGCGGCTCCCGCACCTTTAGTCCCGCGCATGAGCAATGCCAAGGTAGTCCAGAAAGCGTCGTTAGCAACTGGTCCCAGACTTCGTGAAAGCTACTATGCATCGTTATACACCAACCCCTCCCGATAAACCCTTCTCACCCCTCACCCCTCACCCCTGATACTCCTTCGCCTGCTTTTCCTTCAGCGCGAGAGGCTGGTCCAGACCGGCCATCCGGTCCTTGTCGGCAAACTCCTCCATGGGGACGTTGAGGTGACGGAAGTATGTGGGGAAGACCCAGGCGCATCCAAAGGAGCAGACTGCGAGGGCGACCCATGGCCAGATCAGGAAAGGGTCTTGGATCGCGTTGGAACAAGCGAGCGAGATAGCTGAGGCGATCGCAGTGTTGAACAAGGCGAGGGCGTAGACCAACGCCTTCATTCGAGCAGGGGATCGAGTGTAGGCGAGCTCGTACGAGGTGACATTGACAAACAACTCGCCGACAGCGGGGACCATGATGATGGGGATCTGCCACCAGATGGACACGGGCGAGACACCTTCCTCGCAGGTCGAAGCGGCGTATCCGCAAGGCGAGGTCTTGTAGATTCTCCATTGGACCACCGCGGCGGTGATACATGACACGCTGCCGAGGAGGAACCCAATGCACATCCGGGTCATCGGCTTCAGCGGTCGACCGAAACGAGCAAACAGAGGGTAGAGTCCAAAGTTGACGATCGGCGCGAAGATGATGATCGCGAGGGGGTTAAAGTTGTCAATCAGGTCGTTGGGCACTCCGTTCAAGGTCATCGCGCCAGACATCGAGTTGACCGCGTTACCGATCCCCCCGTCAGACAGGGTGAAGATGGGGATCAACGCAAACACGGCGCACGCGGCGAGCGTCTGGCGGATTTCGTCGACAAACTTGTCATCCCAGAACACTTTTTCCACGTCGAGGGAACCCTCTTGCTGAGCGATGTACGATGGCTTGGCTCGGTTCCAAAAGTCGTCGCCCCCCTTCCACATGCGTCCCCAGCCTCCATCCTTGAGCAGGTACCGGGCGACCTTGCCGACTTCGACGAGCACGGAACCTTGAGGGGGCGCCTTGTACAGCCGCTTCGAGGCGAGGAGGAGGACAATCGGCATGAGGAGGTAGATGATTCCGGGGAGGAGAAACGCGAGCCAGAACCCGACCAGCCGGGCCGAGTAGGTCGTCGCGATGGCAAAGAACGCGCCGATGTTGATGCACCAGTAAAAGACAAGGAGGTATCGCTGGATAGTGGTGGTGGGGTCGACGACGACCTTCTCCCCACTGCTGAGGACTTTGAGCGTAGGTCGCTTGACCGGGGACTGGTCGCACAGAAGCGGACCCAAGCACGGCTTGATGAATCCGGCGGCGAAAGCCAGGACGAGGATGGACACGATGAACGATCCAAGCGCGCCATCCGGCTTGCTGATGACGGAGGGTATGGCTGGGATGACGAGGATAATATGGGCAATCGCTCCGATCGCCGTTCCGACGCAGATCGTCTTGAATCGTCCCCACTTGGTGTCGGATACCATTCCGCCAAAGACTGGAATCACATAGGCGAGAAAGTTGAACATTTGCACCAAGGCCGACGCGGCCACCGAGCCCCGGCCCAACGCTCCGGCGGACTGGTTCAGACCGGCGGGCCCCTTGGCGACGGCGCCAGCACCGTTGCCCCCGACGGGGAGCGGTCGGTTGATAAAGTTGTTGAACGGGCCTTTTGAACCATAGTACGAGGCCCGTTCGGCAAACTCGATAAAGCACATGGCGACACCAGTCCATCTGTACTGTCAGTTCCACCACCTCGAGCGACTTTTGCTCACGGTAAAGGCGCCGAGACCTTGCGCAAAGTGGCCAATTGCT